GGGGTCTTCGTCGGGGTGCAGAAGAGTATTTGGTTGATTCAGAAGAGTGTCGTTGAAAGTTTCGGATTTGTTGCCAAAGGGTTTGGAATGCTTGGGGGGTTTGTTGTCTACTCCTGCCTCCCTTCTCTCTGCACTAAACACTGGTTGAACAGTACCCCAAAACTCTAGCTTCCTCCCTGCCCGCCGCAAGCTGAATTGCTACAAGCGACCCCTATAGTAAGGCGGCGCTTAACCCCAAGGTGGCCCTTAACCCTACCTTAAACTACCAAACCTATTATAAACCCTAATGTGGAATTTATGGGGACCCTACAAAAAGGTAAGTTGGTTTTGGTAGGTTAAGGTACTGAAGCCCGAAATAGAAACGACCTGCCTGGTTCGACCCGTCGCCTCCCTGCGCGCTGGCCGCAATGGCCTCCACTGACGGCTACTTTCCTACCTATAGTCTCCATTGTAGTTCCTTTTTTGTTTAACCATATATATATATATATATATTAAGGATTTTATACGGTATCCCCGAAAAGGAACTACAATGGAGACTATAGGTAGTGCTTGGGGTTTGGACTCACGCCCAGGAGTTAACTAGGTGTTAGTGTTTAACACTGCGAAACTTTATAAAGTTTATGGCTTGAGGTGGCAACTGAAAGTGGCTAGATGCTAGAACCTCTTGCTGCAGGCTTGCAAGCAAGAACGCCTGGAGCATCTAGAACCTAAGCCAGTATCTTCATCCCCATATCTTCATTACATCAGCATCCCCATCACCAAACGATTGCTTCCCATTAGGCTCAGCCTGAACACCCCCGAGACCCCGCAAGCTGCTCTCAGTTGGGGAACAAGAATCTCCAGAATGTAGGGGCCTAAACAATGACCTTGGGGGCCCTTATTATAATTATCAAACCCTAAACCCTAAACCCAAAACCCCTAAACCCTAAACCCTAAACCCTAAACCGTCTACGATGGGCCCCAGAACCCTATTCTAATTACTAAGGCCATATTACTCGCCGATGCCAGGCCTGATCTCTTGCAACGTCGCACCCCCACGCAGGTGTCTCTATAATCTAATGTAGCGGCCTTAGTAATTAGAATAGGGTTTCGGGGTATATTCTACTATAGTCATAATAAGGACCCCCCCCCAGAATAGTATAGGTAATTGATATTCAGGCCCCTATATTATAAGGGTTCCCTGAAGAGATCCTTTTGCTGGCTCCTCCAGTGATGACAGGTGTTCTCCTGAAAAAGCCTGGAGTGACCAAGAACCGTCTTGGCATTCGAGAAAGGCCCAGTCTTTGCAGTGGGAACGCCGGATAAAGGAGACAGTATAAAATGGCTATGTCCGATGCCGGCAACGGAGACACCCCAGAGGCAAAACCTACAACCATATGCAGCTATTGCTAACACCAACGACTCACCATTTAACTTCGCTACCGTGCAGGAATGCGTAGAAATCATTCATCAGGGTGCTCATGGACCATTAAAGAACCCAAAACCCTAAAACCTCATGCCCTGCCGTCTTGACCCTCAGAGGCCAACCCCCCAAATCCCGGATTCGCCGACTGAGGCGGCCTCGGAAAGCCTCTTTCCCAAGGAGGCATCTTCGCTAGTGGCTTTGTCGCCATAGCCGCGGGAGGACATTGTCGGAATTATTCGTAAGGTTTAAAGTGCCTCGTCATTTTGCGAATGTGCGTGTCGCTGATGGGTGAGAGGCTGACAATCACAAAAGGCACAGTGTGTGTGTGTGTGTCAGTCTGTCGAACTGTCTGTTCATCCGTCTGTCTGTCCGTCTTATACAGGATTGTTGTTTTTTGTGGTGCACTTGTGCATGTGTGTAGGAAGTTGCATGTATGAACTAGTTATATATATATATATAATACACGTCCATATACATGCATGGTTCTGCCTGCCTGCATGTCTGTCCGTCTGTCCGTCTGTCCGTCTGTCCGTCTGTCCGTCTGTCTGTCTGTCTGTCTGTCTGTCTGTCTGTCTGTCTGTCTGTCTGTCCGTCTGAAGTCATGTGCGAATATGCTGCAAGTTGCCAGCAGAAATGCTGCCTGTGGATTCCCTAAAGGGTCCCTATGCCATGCGAAGAGTGAGGCATTATCTCGGGTGCCCAAACACGGGAACCTAGTCTACAAACGCTCAACCCTTCGGCCCAACCCTACACTCTACACCTAAATGCCCAAGCCCAAGCCCCAAACCATCTTAAACCCAAATATAAGGCCTTAACAATTCGAATTGGGTTTGGGGGTATAGTATCCTATAGTTATAAAAAGGAGCCCCTGAAAATCCTATTCTAATTAATAAGGCCCCTACATTCCGCCCCCCAAAGCCCTGAGCTGACTCAACCCTAAACCCTAAACCCGAAACCCTAAACCCTAAACCCTAGACCCTAAACCCTAAACCCTAAACCCTAAACCCGAAACCCTAAACCGTGTCAGCGGTGGCTCTTCGGCCCTGCAGGCACCAAGCCCCGTACTCCGCAGCAAAGGGCTCCCACAGGTTCGACCTTGCAAAAATGGGCAGGGTTTAGGGTTTCCCTCAGGGTTTAGGGTTTTAGGGTTTAGGGTTTAAGGTTTACATGGACCTTGCAAAAATGGGGCAAAGACTTAAGGGTTTAGGGTTTAGGGTTTGGGGTTTAGGGTTTAGGAGGGTGTCGGGGGCCTCTTGGGCAAACATGAGGCTTGCATAGCACAGTAAGCCTTCCGAGCAGGGCTGGTTGAGAAAACCTTCATACTGTTCCGCTCCATGCTTGAGTCCTGTTTGGGGCCTCGGGGAATCCGGCTTTATAGGCTAAGTGGCCCAGGGGTGCGGTGGAGCTCGGCAGAGGTTTGCACCAAAGCTGGGTCAATATACAGGCGTGACTGCAAAGACGCGTATGGCATATGGGGGTTTCCGAAAATAGGGGACCCTAGTATAGTACCCTAAATAGTAGAATCCTTATTATTACAAGGACCCCAAAATACGGTACTCCCTGTTTTCTGAAACTCCCATATGGTGGTACTGTAGCAGTCCTGCTGGGCTGGGCTCGCAGCCTGGGGCTTTCGGATCGAAGGCCGAGCTGACCGCAATTACCCCAACAGCCGATTCTAGCTACTGCGGCGCCCACACCGGCGACATGACGACTTCAAACCTGCAATCAGCAGACTGATAGCAGCTTGAGTGGATCAACCGGCACTCGCTAATCATTTTGTTGTCTTTCCTTGCGTGACCCAGGCGGAAAGCTGCGCCCAGAACACCGGGTCCACGTCGCTGAAGCAAACCATCGTTGAACGGGCATTTGCCCCCTGACCGTTGGGCAACTCGAATACTGCAAAGATTGAGTTTAGATGCAGACGTCCTCGTTTCGGAAACCAAACAGTCATCGATTCACACCCCTTCTCGCCCGTTCCACACTCCAGCTGGGCATTCCAGCTACCACTCCTCTCCTCTCCTTTCATTGGCGGGGAGTTGGGCTCAATGATGATGCCGGTGATCGCAGATGCCTCGCTCGTCACCACGATCTGACCATCACCCTGCTCCCGATAGACTTTCTGTTTTGACGGGTCGTACTTCACCTCGACGACGGCTCGGTGGAACATGTCATCCTCGAAGACTCTTGAGCTCTGCCATACCAGGTCGCAGCGCCCAGCTTCGGTGTCCGTGTCCGGGAGACCTGGCTTCCGGAACTCATGTCCAGCATCTTCATTCGCTGACTCTAAGAACACTCAGAGCATCAAGATGCTGCGCCCAATCCGTAGAACGATAGGCCCTTTGCCACCTGAAGCCCGGCCTTGTCCGCGCGTTGCAAGCCCAAGTCGGGCCCTTCTGAGCACCCGGAGCCAATGATGGAACACCCAGCTGGGCAGCAGGATCCCTCCTTGCATCCCTCCTCGGGCAATCCTCGAGGCCGCGATCCCTAAGCCAGTCCTGGAAGTTGCACGCAAAAAGCCTCTGACCATTCCTTTGGGTCGGCGCCTTCTTCCGAGATTCCGGCTCCAACCAAAGCCACACTCTTCAGCTCTGCGCCGCTTGAACGGCACGGTCGAAGAGCGCTCTGTTGAACTTCCGAGCTTTGATCCTTTTCTTACCCTCCGACGATGGCACGTTCTCGACTTTGTCCGACAGGCCCCTTTTGACCTTCTCGACATTCTGAGAGGAAGCTGCCGGATTCATTCTTGTCTTGCCTGATGCTCGTTTGGGCATCGGGGGGAGGCGTAGAGTGTGCACGGCGATCCAGCAACGTTCCAAAAGCGTTGATGTACGGTACTTCCAACAGTCCCCGATCCCCGAAGAAGTCCTCGCACTTTGGGAAGGTAAAAGGTGAGGCGGCCCAGAGTATTCTCAAACGCATGCGGCTAGAGGGCTGGCAGAGCGACATCGCTGCATGATATACTCCAAATTTTCTCAGCAGCCAAAGTTGGCCGCGAGTGTTCAAACAAGAAGCCGAACTTATCCTTGAAGTCTTTCAGAGCTCTGGAACGTTGAATGACTGCACGTGCCAATTTGCCGGGTCAATCCTTGGCAGCCAAGAGTGTTGGGAAATGCCTGTTTGGATGCGTCTGTCACATAAACTACACAAACACAAGAATTCGTGAAGCTTACAAGGTTCACCCAGAGGCCCCATAGTAGTTCTTTTTGGGGGTTACCTTATAGGATTCTATATATGAACCCCAAAAAGGAACCACTTCAGGGCCTATGGGTAGGGGTATTGCGTGTCTCTTGGGGGTCGCTGCGGCGAGGAGCAGGTTCCCTGTCTTCGGCAGCGGGTGCGCAAGTGGTCTTTCCTTTCATGGCGGCCTGCCGCTTGGGCCCAACAACTTAGGGGCTGAGTACCCTAGCGCAAGAAAGGTTAGGGTTTAGGGTTTAGGGTTTAGGGTTTAGTTAACCTTTTCAATTATGGTAGGGTTATATAAACCCCAAAAGGTTAAAGGTTACCTACTCAGCCACTAAGACTGAACACACAAACCTCGAGTTCAGTACCCATAAAGGGCTTTTGGGTTTATGGAGTTTAAGATGGTGTAGGGTCGAGGGTCGTCTTTGCTAACGGTCCTCTACTTGTATGAAGTATCGTACAAGGGAGGAGGCTCCAACCTGGAAAAGCAAGGTCGACACGAAACAAAAAGTCTACGGGGCCCTCATGACTAGAATAGGGTTCGGCAGATATATATATATATATACACATATAGATATACATAAAGAAAAATCACCTCATGATGATACGTTGTCAAATCACCTCATGATGATACGATTATACTTGAAAGGGAGCCCTAAGGAATACTACCGCAAACTATTCAAAACTCTGTTGGTACATCCCCACGCAACCCCTCGTCTTAGGCTAGGGTTTAAAGCTTCGAGACTTCTTATGCTCCGGGAATGTACAGGTTCTTGCCTGGGCGAAGCTTTTCGAAACACTGAAAGCACGCAGAACCACAACTTAAACATAAAGCCTAAGACAGCGGGAGCATTCCAAGCATCAAGTCAGCACAGCCTTCGCTCCCAAAGCACGCAGCCCTCTGAATCCTAAGCCCAAGCAAGCACTGAAAGTGGGAAGCGCTGCATGAATGACCTCCAACTCCAACACTTACAAACCTAAGTCATGATCTCTGAGACCCCTTCAAACCTTTTTCAGCATGGACTTGCATCGTGTGCCAGCGAACACACCTCAACAGCAGGAAGGCCCCCTTCTAACCTTTTTTCAGCATGGGCTCGGACCCCTTAAAACCTAAACCCTAACCCTTCAAACCTTGACGCTTCTGGTTAGCCCTAGGCTACAAAAAAACTCAGAGACTCAAACCAAACCGTAAGTCCTAGTCAATGATCCTACACTGTAAAACCCTCAGCCAAACCACAACAACAAAAGAAACCTCTAGCAAACTCAATAACATGTGGAAACTAGAGTAGAGTTTTGGGATATATACCTTTATTAAAGGGACTAGCAGGGAACATTTTTAGAAATTATTTCGAGCCCGTTCGTAACCGGTTAGTGACCCAAAGACTTTTGCGAGACGAGCCCGAGCCTTCCAAGAAGCCATGAGCGAGACTGACAAAGCCCGAGCACCAGTGCCGCTGGCCCAGGTTGGCCCCCCAGCTCACAGGTCTGCCGGTTGCGGGTTTCATAGGCTCCAAGGGTTTAGGGTTGCGGCGCTCACTGGCTTCTGGGTTTACGCTCTCATAACTCGGACAACTCAATTGAGGTCTACCAAGGTGCAAAACGGAAGCGGGGTTGGGGACGGCAAGACTTGGCGTTTCGATTTGTTTTGACCGTGCGGTACTGCTATCGGTTTTGAACGGTTTCGGGTGAAAGGCTTGAGAGTTGTGACATTGTGGACTTGAGAGGGCATGCAGCGATCCTTATCCTGAGCGATTTGGGGATGAAGGCCTCTGTGATGGCGTAATTTATGGCACAGCCTGAGAATCTCCATCTGCCCGAACTTCGGCACAAAGCTTACGGGATGGCTGGATCTTGTTCTTGCGCTGCTTTATCCCACCATGAAGGATCCCGGAGGTATGACCCCGAAACGTCGGACACGCACCTGACAGAAGAGAATCTGAGAACCATCGAGGGTCAGTTGTCGCCCAGACATCGACACAGCCGCCGCCCACGAACAACAAAACCTAGGTACACCACCCCTGCCCCCACGAAAAACAAACCTTTTGCCCAAAAGCAACGTCCCATCAGGCCCCTACTTTATCAATTCGATCAACCAACCGTGAGCCCTTAAACCTTATATGCACTGGCCCAAAGATCATGTGACGCATCTCTCCGATGTCCCTGTCAAGAATGAGAGAAGAGAATCAGCTTGATTTTGTTCTCACCTAACCGCTGCCGCTGCCTGCACAGCCGCCTCATAGCTGACTGCATCCGCCTCTACCTTGGCCTCCTGGCTTTACTAGGACTTTTGAATGGGGCATTCGCATTTGTGAGCCGAGTAATAGAGGGCTCAGGAAAGTGTTACAAGCGCCCGGCTGTGGAGGGCTTTGGGTGTCAAGTTCCCTAAAACAAGGTCTCTTGGTCGGGTAAATAACATATGTTGCCACTTGCTCGGGGCCTTGGGGCTATCGGGAGTGGAGCACTTCCGGCTGCCTTGATTAGCACATCAAGGCCCCTCTTCGAAACCTCGCAAGCCGACACAGACTCCGCAGATGCTGAGAGCTGCAGATATTCACAGAAGGGAGAGTTTAAGGACCCCCCCCGCGCCAACTTTCGTTTTACAAACCCTGACCCAGCTACTGTAGTCACTCGCTCTCTTCACTGGAGCAAAGGCGTCAACTCCAGCAGCAAAGGTTCCCGGGATTCGAGATGAAGTTTGCTGGTGGTGGGGTCGAGACTGCCCCTCAACCTCTACACCTCCTGCTGCGACTACGAACTACTGTGACAGGCGCTTTGCTCTCGCCGCGAAAAGGTCGTCGCTCTTCGTGGTGGTCCGAGTCTGTATCCTCTGTCTCTGCCTTGAGTCTACTCCTCGTCGTTGTCTCCCCTCAAGCACAACCCCGCAACATCTCCCAAGTCCCAAGCTCAAGGCACGA